ACGTTAGGAAACAAAACTTCCAGAACACGGCCACACAGCCCGGAAGACCCACACCAGGCATCGTATGCCGCCCGTGAAAGCCTTCGACAATACATTGCCTGAATTGTTTTCTTTGTCTTAAATTCACATCATCTTCCTCTGAATAGATACAGTATGGTATTTTTTAATCTTTACAGATATGACTTGCCAGGAATATATGGATTAAACTTTGTTCTAAAAAACTCCCTTGGTGGTGGTGGTACAGCATCTCTGAGAAGTGACCCACAAGTAGGTAACTGGTTATAAGGACTTGCTCTGCTGGTCTGTTCAGCAAAGCAAAGACTTCATAAACTGACACTAATTTCAAGTACATGAGACTACATACATCGAGGGATAAAGAGAAATGCACAATCTTTGTATTTATCCAAAAATTCTTTCTAATTAATTTCACAAAATAAATCCATTAATCTTTAAGGTGCAACAGGACAGCTTATTGTTTCTTAGTAACACATTTGAAAGAGGAATCTGGCTATTTATTATTTTCTAGTTACATTGTTCCTTTTGTCAGTCATTGTTATAATATCAGCTGAGATGTCAGTCTCATATAATCAATTCCATATTCCAGATGTCAGTCTCATATAATTAATTCCAGCTCTAAAATTCAGAGTTGATCATAGCCAAATTTCAAAGTGCCCTTTCTGCTGGCTCTTCCCCTTTTCATATTGGCTTTTTGCAAATGAGGAATAAGTGCAAGAGCAATCTAAGGTCAGTATGTTAGCCACAGTGGGCAATGTGCTGAAATTGTAAACCCTTTGCTTGATAATATATTCCCTGATTTTTTTTCTTCTTTAGCTTCCTTTTTCTCTGTATTGGTACAATTGAAGCCCACGCATGTTACATGTAGGTTATACTTGGGGGTAAATCCCAGGTTTGTGATCTAGGTACCTAAAGGAGAAATAAAAACCAGCAGGAAAGCCAGCCTCTTCAGAAGTAGATTGCACCATGCTACAGGGGATTGGTGCTCAAAGAGGAGACACGTCATTTGAGAAAATGTTGCCTTTCTCTTGGCTGAGTTAGAACTACAGTTTTTCTTTTCTGTCTCTTTTACAGGGTAAGGCACTTGGACAAATGCTACTCGACTTCAAGATTAAAAATGTTCCAGATTTAAGGTCTTTGATAGAATAATGTCATCATTCTCATTCAGTTTTGAAATTACAGTATTTTAAATAATTTTTAAAAGCTAAACGTGCTGGTGGCATTTATCAGTTAAGGATTTAACTAATTCCTAATGTACAGATAAGAGAATATTCTGAGTAATGCCAGATCTGTTGCTTTGTAAGTCACTGGTATTTCCTGTCTTCTGCATTGGATGATGATCCTATTTATTTCCTGTGAATATAATTAAGCAATAAATTATAGAATATTTTTCCAAGAGATAACTGCTGTTCCCAAGTAAAAACTGCCTCTCTTTCTCTGCTGCTTGCTAGTACAGATGTAAAACTAGCAATACTATGTGTAATTGTAATTATTCAATTTGTATGGCCACCCATCTCATCTAAGCATGATGAGCAACAGCTGACCACAATAATAATGGAATACTACTGGATTTGCCATCATTAAAACTTACTAACATGGGATCAAGACACTGTTATTGTCTTTATCTGGAATATTTTCTAGTAACTACTTCCTTATGATAAACAAGGCAACTTTTATTTTGTTTGCAAGCAGATATAAACAACTGTTTCTTGTTCAATATTTTTAAGTGAAGCTTAGCTATTGGATTTAACTGAAGACTAGTATATATAGTATTTTAAAAATTAAATTATGATAAACTATATAACCTTATGGTTACTGCAGAATTATTATATCTGTAAGCCTCAAATAATTTCATACACAGCCATTTGGATTTGATGTAGCTTATATGTGTGTATTTGTATATAGATGTAGATAGATAGAATGTGCAAACTATCATTTAATATCCTTAAATTCACAAGCTAGCAAATTGGATTTGCAGATTATCCAATGCAGATGTGGATTATCCAATGCAGATTAGAGTCCTTCATGGAAAGGGAGATGCCAGATATTCAAGTTGGTTTTAAAAAAGGCCAAGGCACAAGAGACAATGTTGCTAATATACACTGAATAATGGAGAAAGCCAAAGAGTACCAAAACGTCAATATGTACTTTGTTGATTATAGAAAGGCCTTCAGTTGTGTTGACCATGTGAAGATCTAGAATATCATTAGGAAAATGGGAATCCCAAAATATCCGTCTTCATAAGAAACCTATACACAGGACAGGCAGTCACAGTCCGAACAGAATATGATGAAATAGAGAGGCTCCAGATCAGCAAAGGAGTGAGACAAGGCTGTATATTCTCTCCTTATTTACTTGAGCTATATAATGAATATGTTTCAAGGGAGGTTGGATTGGAAAAAGAGTGTGGTTTTAAAATTGGGAGAAAAAATTTCAATAACCTGATTTATACTGATAACACTGCTTTGATAGCTGAAAATGCAAATGATTCAGAAGCTCTGATAATGAAAATCAAGGAGAACAGTGAAAAAATGGGATTAAGATTAAATATAAAGACCAAACTAATGATAACAGATACAGAAACCAAATTTAGCATTTACAATACAGTACTTTCAAAATGTTGAAGTGGTGGATAGCTTTTGCCTTTTAGATCTGACCATCAGTAGTAAAGGAACCAGCAGTCAAGAATACACCATAGTCTAGTGCTTGATAGGATAGCAGTGAAGGCCTTGGAAAAGATATTCAGATAACATGATGTATCTATACCTACAAAGATCAGAATTGTACAGGCAATTATTCTCCGTGTGACTCTATATGGAAGCAAAAGGTGGACCCTGAAGAATCAGAATAGAAATAGTATTGATGCTTTTGAACTTTGGCGGTGGAGAAGATTCCTGTGAATATCATAGTTAGCCAAGAAAACAAACAAATGAATAATAGAACAAATCAATCCAGGGTTCTCACTCAAGGCACAAATGACCAAGCTCAAATTATCATATTTTGGACACATCATGTGAAGATCCAGCCCCCTTGAAAAGTCCATAATGCTGGAAAAGGTGGAAGGAAAGAGAAGAGCATGACCAGAAGTAAGGTGGATGGATTTGATTAAAGTAGAGATGAGTGCACTATTGGGAGATCTGAAGGCCCAAGTTGAAGAAGTCTGTCTATGTAGTTGCCAAGAGTCAACACCAACTTGATGGACATAAATCAATAGATATAGATAAACATACAGAGATACACACTATAGTAAATGTTTAGTGAGATTGATGATATGGCGGTATATAGTCAGTGAAAAATCTATTTTAATTTCTCTAGATTATGTATTCTTTATTCTTGGATCACTTTGCTAATACAAAATGGAATATTCCATTAGCCTTCACTGTGGATTGAAAAACCGAGGAAGGTTAGAAGCTAACAGGAGGCAGCCATACAGCAGATGATTACATTGTGTGAACTATTTGAAATTCCAGTACACATATGTCCTCGAAATTAAAAGCTTGCCATGTCCATATGTATGAAACAATGTGGGAACTTGCACTGAAGCACTTTAATATAAACTTTAAAAACAGTCAATTGATATACTGATGCTCCTGATTGTGCTTCTTGTCTGAACTATCTTGAAGGGTCAACAAAATCTTAAGAGCTCATTCATGTTTGTGCTATAAATAACAGACCAACATGTTTTGTAACAACTGATTCTTCATTGTAGTCTCTGAGATTCATGCATACAAGCAATGTGCCTGCACCAAGCCCAACTTGGAATCTTCTACAGCTTACAGAAACATTTGGTGGCTGACTGCCCCTTACCCCCTCTCCCCGCATACTATGTGGCTAAGCACCACATCCCCTGAATCCTTTCTGTTGTTTTCAACCAGCGGAGCAATAGCACATTCATCCTTGAGCTTCTCATTTTGGCCAGATTCTTATTTTCTTTTCTTTTTCTTATTTGTTATTTTGCTGTTATTTATCCTCTCAACTCATTAGAATCAGCACAGAGTTATACTATTTTGTGCTCCGTTATGGGTATCTGGCTTTGGCCTTAGGGCCCAACTGTGCAAGTGCCAGCCCTGCAGATCCCCTTTCAGATTATTTATTTATTTATTTAATGGATTTATAAGCCGCCCAATTTAAACAATGTGACTCTGGCTGGCCTACCACAAAAAAACAAACCAACCAACCTCCCCCCCCAAAAGCCCAAACTACATAACATTTAAAAATCTACCCAATATATAAAATATAAAATGGTGACTGAACACAATAATTAAACAATATAGTTTTGCCTCAGTTTATTCTGGATGTTTGTCAGGCTTCACACCTGGACTCAATATAAATCACTGATCTGATACTTTACTTTAAGTTCAACTTCTTGGCTTGACTTGGCACTTTAAATTTTTTAGATGGAAATTACTCATTTTGCCAAGTAGAAACTAAACACAGTTCAACATGCAAACTGACTTGGCAGCCAAGATTATGGTAACTTCCACTTCTTTGTGTCATAATTCCTGGCTCTATTCCACTGGTCTCATTGGAGGCTAAGGCTAGAAGTGAATACCTTCCATTTGACATGGATAGTCTATTCAGCAATAAAACTGATAGGCTCCAAAAGATTCATTTAACAGCCCTCAGGTAGACTCTATAACTGCATTTCTTTTTTTACAGTCCCTGGGCCCACTCATGCTATGACCACAGACAATAAGGTTTTAGATGGCTCTACCCTCTAGGCTTCTTGCTAGAGATCAGCACTTCCTTCACATCCTGCTCAAGAAAGTTTTAGATGTCAGCCTCAAAGATCCAGGGGGCATCTTCATGTTTTCTCCATATTGGACATCAAGAACTGGCTCATTTTCAAAATATGTAGGTCTCCAACACTTGTGACTTCTTTGGTTTAACCTCATACCAAGTTGCTCTCTAGATTCCAAAGCCACTTCCATGCTTCTCAGAAAGTTTCTCTCCTTGGGCAAAAAGGAGCAATTAAAAACATCCCTCCAGAAAATCATCCTTTTCCCTTCTTTTCCAAATATTTTTCAGTCCCTATGAAAGGTGATGGGTGGAAATCCATATTGGACTTCTGCTGTTGTATGTTTCTGAGACAATCCTGTTTCGGGATGATAAAAATTCTTCCATCCTCCCTCTCCTACAGAATGGAATGTTCCATTGCTCTTAGAATACATCTTGCATTGTTGGGGCACTATAAGAAACCAGAACACCTTTAATAATCCCATCTTGCCAAATTCTGCTTTATCCATTACACAGTTGGGAATCAATGGACCAAATTCTTGCCACCCATCCAGAAATGTATTCCCTACAACTTTTGGGAGAACTTAGCTCTTGGAACAGAGAAAATGTTAGAGATAGGCTTTTTGAAAAGGATGCCAATAAAGATGCCACTGCAGAACAATCATCCACATTTTCATCTTGGTACTATCATTATAAAAAACATAGAAGCCTCTCCCAGTACCTGGTTAATATAACCAGTCCTTCACTGAGAAGGGCTTTAACATGCTTCACCTGCAGACTATGCCCTGCTTATATCTCGAAGGGAGTTTTGTAAGCACCCTGTCAAACGACATCTCTGTCCTTGTGGAGTTGGTCAAGCGGAGGACATCATCCATTATGTCCTCCACTACCCCATTTACAATAAGATCAGGGCCAAATTATTGATGGTAGGTGAACTCAAAGGCTCAGACCTCGAAAAATTGAACTATCTTCTTGCAGATGTGTTCAAGTTGCTACTTTGCTGTCATTTAAACTGAGAAATAGTTTTTAAGTTCTTAGTTGCTTAGAATTTAGTCAAATAAATTCTTAGTTGCAGCTTTATCTTTATCTTACTATAAACTTTTTACATCCAATATTCTTTATTTTACAATCTTATTATTTTACTGTTATGTTACTGTATTTTATGGCACACTATATGTTATGACTACAACAATAAAGTTACTTACTTACAGAATGGAATGTGTAATTTTGCATGGAATTTTGCAACAGGCATATTTTTGTGTTTCTGTAGCACCCTATCATCATTCCTTCCTTCATTTTATAATAAATGAATCTGTTTTTATCGTGTTTTATCACAGCTGCAAGAATATATTTTCAGTGTATGGTGTCTATTGTTGCTTTCCTCTGCCTCCAAGACATCCTGTTCTCATATAGATGTTTGGCTTCTTACCATGTATTTTTATGCAGAACCATTCTGACACAAAGCTCAAGTGCTTTTACAGGATAACTTGCCCTTGGGTTACTTAGGAGAAAACTGCCCTTTTTCCCTTGCAGGTTATCCTGTTCATGGGACTTTGACAGATATTGTCAGAGGAGTGTTTTTTCCCTATTTTTACCATGATTCTGTATGCTTCAAGCACACAAAATTCTTCTTGAGGCAAAAGCACAGAATGTTCTTCAGCTCTTGAACACCAAGGTAGCTGCAACCTCAGTTCACACCAAATGTTTCTATAAGCTCTGGAAGTTTCCAAATGGGGGCTGTGTGTAGGCATGTCCCATGTGTTAATTGTCTGTTATAGCAGGAGAAAACAAAGTGATAAGTGAATGCTTTAAATGTTTTTAAATGTTTTAGAGAGAATGCTTAGATACAGGGTTTTTTTTTTCTGAAAATGCATTTGTTTTGAATTTTTTTAGCTGTTATTGAGTAGCACTTGTAAAAATTAAATTTGGAAAAATAATAGCTTTGTGTTTTGCCAGAAATTTGCAAACACACATCAGTTTTAATCTACTGCTCATAATCAGTGTACAAATACACCATTTACTGAATTTGTCTCTACCTGTTGACTTCTATAACCTTTTTAAATAACAAGAACTATCAGTTAAAGAAAATGTTAATGATACTGATCATGTGTAAATGGTAACTGAAATGAAGAGAGAAAGCAGATTTTCCACTATAATTTCCTGAAACTGAACTCAGGCAGTACTAATCAACATTAAATATTGATATATTGATCAGTCTTGTCTCTGAGCTACTTCTCAAGTGTCCTGTGCAAGAGTAACATAAGTATAGAGTGCATCTGGGAGAAATTACATTTCCATTAGTGTGTTGATTTACTTTTAGCATTAAATAATGTTATGGATTTGTTGTGTTTGCTTTTTGAATCTTTCTTCTCTGTTTATTTTCTCAAGATTTGGCATTATGTGGTGATATACCAAGAGTCAGTAATCCAGTGTACCCTGATTTCATCTCACTATACAGTTGTAGCAACGTAGTTGAGTCCTAAAAAATCAGAAAATCATTTGGATTTGTTGTTAGAAACAGACCTATCTTTTTACATTGTGTGTGTGTGTTAAAAAAAAAAAAATCCCCTCTCACCAGTATGGTTGGTATGTGTCTTCCTCAATCTCGGGTCCTCTGCCAGAGGCCTGGGAGTTTGAGGGTTCTGCAGTATCTCAGCCATTCCTAGCACTGCACTCTTCTGGACAGAGAGCTCTGATGTTGTTCCTGGGATCTCTTGGAGCCACTCTCCCAGCTTAGGAGACACAGCCCCGAGTGCTCCTACCACCACTGGGACCACTTTGGGCTTTACTTTCCACATCCTCTCTAGTTCTTCCTTCATGCCCTGGTACTTCTTCAGCTTTTCATACTCCTTCTTCTTGACATTGCTGTCACTTAGCACTGCTACATCTATCACCACTGCTGTCTTCTGGTCCTTGTCTACTACCATGTTATCTGGTTGATTGACCAGTACCTGCCTGTCCATCTGGATCTGGAAGTTGCACAGGATCTTAGTCCTGTTATTCTCCATGACCTTCTGTGGAATCTCCCATCTGGACTTGGGAGGGTCTAGCCCTTACACTGTGCAGATGTTCCTGTACACAATGCCAGTTACTTGGTTGTGTTGTTCAGTGTATGCTGTTTCTGCCTGCATTTTACACCCTGCCACTGTGTGTTGGATTGTCTTGAAGCCTTTCTGCACAGTCTGCACCTTGGATCCTGTCTAATGTGATAGACTCCTGCTTCTATGGATCTGGTGGTTAGTGC